CTTACTGTTCAGCTGTGTGAACCCTGGCTCCACTACACCACTGCTTGGTACTGTGAGATACATTTTCTCCCATGTCAAAGGTAATACATAGTTCTCATTATTGATAAGTTTATCCATCATGAATTCTTCCTCCATCTCAATAGCTGTCCAAAATGTTAGAGGAAACTTTGCACCACTGTACCCAATCAAACAGCCAGGACCAAACATTTTTCCTGAAAAATTTGTTCAGGATGCTGCCTTACACTGCAACACTTCTCTTCCCTACCCCAGTCCTGGGCCAACAGATCTTAAAACTGTGGCTCAAGGACCATAGCATGATAAATTTCTCGGTAGTCCCAACTATGCACTTAAGTTGGAGGACACCCAAGCTGAGCCTAGAATGTGGAACAGAAAATATGCACTGCATCATTGATTCATGGCTACTTCTCATATAATATTTTCCTACTCCTCTGGCACACTGACTCAAAGAGGCCATTTTATACAGTGCATAGGCAATAAGCTATAGTATCTGTTGCTCACCACCACCTCAGTCCTCTCTCTCTTATCTTATTTGCTAAGAGATTCCCATTCATGTCCTTATTTTCTCCATTTCCAACCTTCTGCTATCTGAGATCTCCTAGTCCTTAGATAATCACAACCTCACTGCAGTTTAGGTTCAAATTGTCTCCCAGAACTACCTGAGTCACACCAACTATTTCTTTTCTTGAAATCCCATGTGAAAACACAGAATTTTTATTTTAATTTTTTTTCATGTGTGAATCCTTTGTATTTTCCATACACTACTTTTGCTGTTGTTGCTGCTGTTGTTTCAAATTATATACTAACCCACTGGTTCTTAACCTTGGGTTACTCAGGTATTTTTGAACTGCAGCTCCCAGAAACCCCAGCCAGCACAGCTGGTGGTGAGGTCTTCTGGGAACTGCAGTCCAAAAACACCTGAGCAACCCAAGGTTAAGAACCACTGTACTAACCCATAGTGCTAAAGCAATCTCTGGCAGTTTTCAACATGATTATACAAAGAACACTTTGCCCTGCTCCCCCCCCCCCAGCAAACTGGTTACTCATTTTACTGACCTTGGAAGGATGGAAGGCTGAGTCAACCTTGAGCTGGTTAGTTTTGCCTGTCAGAATCAAACTCAGGGTGTGAGCAGAGGTGTAACTGTAGTACTGCAGATTAACCACTGTACCACAGGGCTCAGCCATTACTATGCTGGTGTAATAAACCAGTGGTTCTCAACCTTTGTTACTCAGATGCTTTTGAACTGCAACTCCCAGAAACCCCAGTCAGCACAGCTTATGGTGAAGGCTTCTGGGAGTTGCAGTCCAAAACTCCTGAGTAACCCAAGGTTAAGAACCAGTGTAATAAACAATGTACATTCTTTCTGTGAATCTTTTGCATTTCATGGTAATGTGTAAACTTTCTTGATGAGCACCAGTCCTCTTGTACCCTGATTGATGCACATCAATGTTCAATCTATTAAACTACCACCATGTCCACGGGCATGAACAGGCTTGCCAAAATCTTTATTTCTAGCTCTTAAATTATCATATACTTCCTTTCAAGCAATTTTTAATGGTTTCCTATCCAAACCACTTTGTTTCAATAGTGCTGTATCATTTCAGACTATATGTCAATGATCAGCCTCAGAGAGGAAGTCTGGCCTGCATTAAAAGATGTTCCAATGGATAATCTCAGGATCGTCTCCTGTATAAAAGAACAGATTGTCTGATCACAGAATATGATATAAAATGCAAGAAACCATGAATCCAGCTGATACAGAGAGGATTCTTACCAAACTCTAAACATATTGGACTGGATTGTATTTCAAGGCCTAAAGAAATAAGACTATTACGGAATCTGGACACAGAGCACAGAATATTAACTCTATTTAACTCAAGTTTCTCTTAAATTTAGAGTTATACTTGGTTCCCATATGAAAAGCTGTTCATATTCACAGCCTCCCCTCCCACTGTTTATGCTATCTTCCCTTCCCACTAAATTGCCCTAATACCCTGCTACTATAATTTAAAACTACAGGGTTGTAGGAGAAATCCAATTTCCTTACGTTTGTTTACAGAAAGTTTTCATCTGACCCACAAACCGCCTTCCACAGCATGCCTGCTTATACCTTGTGTTAACATTCCCCCAACAAATACACAAACAATTCCTGCACCATCAGGAAAACAGAATGAATAAACTGCTTCTGTGTAAGTAGATACATGAACCATACAACACATGAGAATTTCTTGAAGTATACTGTATATTCAATCACAGGAGTTTGACTTAGCAAATGGGAGGAAGGGCTTCTGGTTAGGTGTACCCATGTAATAATGCCCTCCCCACAGGTGAGAGCCCTTTGTTTAGAAAAATGAACACTCTGCTTAAGCAGCCCTAGGAAGCTCTCAAAAGCACACTCTTTAATCAGTAAATGAGATCAAAGTTGTGTGATGAAACAAGTCATTGCTTTTTTCCCTTCTACCGGCCCCCTTAAACAGGAAGGCCTTAACAAGCTGTCCGTTTAAAAGCTGGGAGTATGTCAAGCAAACTGAACACCTTTCCTGGAGAGAATAGATCTCGCCTGTATTACCCTTGTCTTTTCCAGCGGGGTTTGCAAAATGAACCCTCACCCACAGATCTCTGTTTTTCTCAAGACATGAACATGCAGGTGAACCTCTTTTCCATTGACCTTCAAATAACTTCAAGCCCTGGTTACTTAGGTCTGTCAAAATATCCACCAACACTCTGCGAAGGGCCTAGGAAGGAAAAGACCACCAATGCAGCCCCCTGGTAGGAGATAACACCCTGCTGCCCTGCTTTATATTGGGCAATAGCCCTTCTGCTGCGTCTTGGAACGGCTGCAACTTTCAGGCATTTGTCAAAATGGGACAGCCGCATCCACACCCTGCAGCATTCAAATCTAGACATCGCCTTCCAAGGAGCATCTTCGGGTGGCCAAGTGCAGCTGTATGGCCCAAGCAGGAGAGCTGTTCGTTCCCCTTTCCTGGACTATGGGCAGCCTCTGCTCTGACATCTATCCTTCCAGAAAAGGGCGCAACAGCACATGGAACTGGAACAGGGCAGTTCCTGGCATGGTTGCCATCTGAAAATAAATTTGGGAGGGCAAAACAAAAGGGAAATAATCACAGTGACAGGTCTACTCTTTTCAGCAGAGGAGTGACTCTATGCCAACGTTTGGAAGTAGTGAGTTTGTCCAAAAAAAGGAGTTAAACAAGAGGATATAACTAATTTATATTTCAAATATTTGGAAGTAGTGAGTTTAACTCCTTTTTTTGGACAAAGAGGATATAACTAATTTATATTTCAAATGTAACAGATTGAGCAGAAACAGTTTCTTTATTGGCGCAGCAAGCAGTGGCTGAAATTTTCTTCCATAAGCTATAGAGTGTAAAGATTGTGGCATCACCCATGGCATTTTTTCAGAACTTTTTGCTGACTTCACCCCCAACCCATCCCTGAGGCTCTCATGGAACCCTTTTCATTGTGAGGAAACCATTAGGAGCTGCGGGGCTGTTCTGAAAATCACTGCTGACAGAGCCTCGTGGAGCAGTGGTTAAACTGCTCTACTGCAGCCAAAATTTCTCACATCCTGGGGTTCAATCCCAGGTAGCAGCTCAAGGTTCCCTCAGCCTTCTATCCTTCCAAGGTCAGTAAAATGAGTACCCAGCTCGTGGGGGGGGGGATATATAGCCTGCATCATTAACTTGTAAACCGCCCAGAGAGTGCTTGAAGCGCTATGGGGTGTTATATAAGCAGCTTTTTTTATATATAACATTACCAGTAGTAGCCATTTTTGGAAATTAAAGCCCTCCTAGATTCTCTACAATGAAAGGGGTCCCGCGGCAGCCGTAGCACCTTCAAGGGGAGGAACTGGAAAAAGTTTTAGTTCCAAAACATTGCTGCAACTGGCAATACCATTAGCCTTCATCCTAACATAATGTATGGGATGGGATTTCAGCCAATGTCTTCTAAAGTTACTTTTAAAGGACAATTTAAGAGGCATTCTGTCAAGGCTTTTCTGGATTTGAGGGCATTCTCCTGTTGAGCCTAATATATTTTTTAAAGAATAATAGAAAAACAGCAAGCAGTACAATGAGCAATACAACCCCTTACTTTTAAAAAAAAAACCTCTTAATGAGCACTGGATAAGTTTTCACAAACAAATTAACAAAGAAAAATCAGTTAAAAAACCAACTACTTTCCAATCTCTGCTGCAGTTTAAGAGCAGGTGAAACATTCTCAGACCAATATTTCCATATCATCTGAACTAGGTTTGTTTGTTTGTTTTTAATAAGAATGGCTTTCCTGCAGTTCATTCTCTCTATCCATAGTGTGAATTCAAGAATTTTCGGTGATCGAGTAGGAAATGAGAAGGATACAGGGACTGGCAGAGTCAATGGATACATGCACAGTTTGACGAGGTAAACAGCCTTCTGTATTTACCTCTTTTTACCTTGGAAGATCTATGAAGTAGTTGCTCCTGACAGAGTCCACACATCCCATCACTCCTCCTCCAGAACATTGAATTTCACATCCAGTCTTCTAAAGGACCTACCGCCACACGCCTACACAAGCACTCTCTCACACACCTTGTCTCTATCCACTTGGAAATCATTTAGCCTCAGAACTCAAAAGCAAGAACACGGCAAAGGCCAAGTATGGGAAGCAGAATTCATATATACAAGGGGGTATATATGTGCACAAAGACCCAGCAGCGGTTTCTAACTTTCTCAAGTGAACGGAGGTGAAATTACTCAGGAAGAGAAAGGTGTTCAGGGTTCCGTCAGGCAGTGGGGTGCCATCCTTTTTTTCCTAAGTCTGTCCCCAGTAGTCCCAGAAGGATGTGTCAGCTTGATCAAGGAGTGACCATTAACTTCTCTCTGGTGTGCCTGTTAGCCAGACAAGTGTTAGTTGTACAGTGTGCACTGGAGAGGATCAGGTGGTAATGTGGGTGAAGGTGTGACTGATTGGTATAAATTACCTGGGCATGCAGTGAAGCAGGGTAGGTGAAAGCAGGCGGAGGTAGAGCAGGTGCTAACTCCGCTGGGTAGAGAGGGTACGGCGCCCATACTTCAGGGCTACTGGGGTAAAGTGCAGGCACTGTGAGCTCATCTGCAAGAGAAGAATAAGGAGAGTTCATGGTTATAAAAACAGCAAATGCAGAAAACAAAATGGCAAACACAAGAGAACCTGCTTGAAAGCTAAGGTAAGATTATCTCTCCAGTAGGTACCACCATCTTTAAAAAAAATCAGGTGGGGAGAGCATGTGAACAAATCCTGACTTGAGGTAAGATATGAAAGTCAAGGTCTGAAACTTACATTCAAGAACTGAGTTATTCTTAAAATGGAAGCAGGCATCAGGGTGATAACACAAAGCAGTCTACTGTACCGTAGTCCTTCAGAGTGGGGAAGTGAACCACTGAGAGGGTTCTAACAAAAGACTTGATAAATTTTGGGAGGTGGGGGCAATCATATTCCAAGCTTCAATGGAGGACAGAAGAAAAACAACAATTCCCAGCAAGGAACAAAGGCCTAGTCTTTGCTACATTAAACATTACACCTAAAAGCCAGCATATTGTAAGAACATTTGATAGGATTATTAAATAGCAACCAGTGACACACACTCTCATGATTAATAATCATGCATATTTGGAAGTAGGAGAGGGTGGTCTCCCAAACCTATATCCTAATGAGGGTACAGAGACAGGGTTCTTCTGAAGCCTTGTCTCCATTTGGATTCTACCTCAAGTCTCTATCTGGGATCACCTGCCACAGCAACCATATTCTTTACAAGCCATCTCATTATCATGCCTTGTCGTCACTGGAGAATAAATCTGCATACCCTCAGGTGTCACTGGGAGCCAGGCACAAGCTAAAAGCAATCCACCAGGGACGTCAACAGCCAGAGAACACTTATCCTTAACAAGATGACTCCCAATGCCTATGAAATCTAATTGGTGTGGATGCTATCACACACAAATGGAGCAGGTGGTGTAGAAGACTCCCCAGAACCTTTTGCAGTATGATAGGCTCCTGACAGATATGCAAAAATTCCCTCAGAAGACAACTTCATGCCGAAGCAGTTCCCCAAAGGGAGTGTTTAAAAACTAGAAGTGCCTAGAAGATGCACATCAAACATTTCGCAGCTTCTTCCTGCTGGCTACTCTCAAGTTGGCCTCTGGTTAGCTGGGAGAGAGAAAGGCTATCAGGTTGGCGATCATGGCTGGCAGGCTGTGGAAAGCCTAGTGCTTTCCCAGTTCCAATTCCCAATATCCTTTGCCTGTTTGTTATCTTACTTCCCCTGTATACACTTCAGACTTGAACGCCAGCTTCCATCTACAGGTATTAGTACCACATTCCAAAACAGTTCCCCGAACTGACAATATTGTATCAATGAAATAGGCACAACTTCCAGTAACTCTTCTGAACTGCATGCAAAGTAACAAACTGAATAAAACAAACAAGTGCTGCAGTTATTAAAATGGTGCAGCAGAGGACATGTGTATACATACATACAAAACATACATGCCCTGTAACACACAGGTTCTTCCAAGTTCCTTCACATGTTCAGCCAGTGACAGAAGTGCAGTTCATGGGACAAGCATTGTCCATAGCAGCTCTCAGACTGTGGAAATTCATCCAAAATTTGGTTGGCAAAACGTTACTACATTGTGCATCTCCCTTTTGTAGTTATTGATCGCCTCATGTTGCATTACAAATACATGTTGTTTTTTGTCTCATTTTCTGCTGTGTTTCAATTATGTGATTACGGTGTCAGTTTTGTTTATTTGTTTTTACTACTAGTAGGACACTACTTCATTCTCATATGGAAAGAGACAGTCAAGGTCTATCTGATAACCATACTGAATAGCGGACATGACCCATTGACCTGATGGGATGCTGTGCCAGGCACATGAGATATGTAATCTTGAGAAGAAGAAGGGGGTCTTAGTTACCAATAAGAAGGTCTGATGTGACAATTAAGCATATGCAGATTAGTGTTTTGAAGATGCTAATTGCAGAATTAACACTTCCCAGAATTGGACTATAACTCCAAAAATTTTCCAATTCCCCTGGCAGAATTCTGGGAGTTGCAGTCAAAAAACCCACTACAGTGGTGCCTCGACTTATTGACATAATTGGTTCTGGTACTCCCGTCGTAACTCAAAATGGCTGTAAGTCGAAGCACCATTTCCCATAGGAATGCACTGAAATGCAATTAATCCGTTCCGGCTGAAGAAAAAAATCACCAAAACAACAACAACAACAAACCACTGTAATACTCAAAGCAGAAAGCAAACAAACCCTGCAAGACCCATCAGAAATGGGGGAAAAGAAAACCAAAAAGCAAACAAACTCTGCAAGACCTATCGGAAAGGTGGGAAAAACCCAAAAAACAAAGACTTCAAGACCCATCACAGCACAGTAACATAACCCCCCCAGCCCAAAACCACACTGCAAACCCTCCCAGAACAGTATTTAAAAAGCAGAAAGCAGCACCTTACCTTACCAGGCAGTCCGAAGTCTCCTCTGATTGCACACTCTCTAACTGCTGGGGTGAAAGAGCTACAAAGAAGCAGCCTCTTCGCCACCAACGGTTAGCAATTTGATTTCCCCACCTTTTTTCCCTGCCTTCTTTTAATCGTAACTTGAAGCTCCGGTTGCAAGTCAAAGCAAAATTTTGCGGCTGGAGCTGGTCCTAACTCGAAATGGTCCTATGTTGGGATGCTAGTAAGTCGAGGCACCACTGTAATTTGCACATGCCTAGTAGCCTCCCCATAACTCATGCTCCCTCAGCTTCTTTCCCTTAAATTAAAGGAGCATGTGGCAGAGCTGGGTGAATTAGTTTCCTAAAATCTTATGCTACCTCTCTTCTTTCACAAGTTCTGCCATCTTGGTGTGTTTGGGCCTCTAACTGGCCACTCCTGGAAACTACGTTCCTATGTATTTTGGTGCCAGGCAGCAAATCACTATCCTTTGGGGCTCACGTTCAATCCAGCTCCTACACAGATAAAGCGGGAGGGGGAGGGAGAATGTTATAACTTGAGGATTGAAAGCAGAGCAAATAAGAGAATGGTGGATATGGGGTGCTCTTAAGGAAATGATATGTATGCAATGTGTTTTTAAACCACAACTCCCAGAGTTGCGTTTTGGAAATTCTTGGGAGAATTCTGACAATTGCTGTCCTATTCTGCGGAGTGCTACATGGAGAATTCTTGAGAGCTGCAGTCCAGAAACATGAATCTCCACATACCTAGTGACAATGGCTTCATGTATACTAATAAACTGCCAAAGTTTACATAAACTACATCAGATCTACAATCAGAAAGTGGGTGATGATGAGAAACAACTGATTCTCTCAGGTCTTTTCAGCCTGGAGCACAGTTTAATCTTTATGAAGATGGTGAAGGTAGAACAACAAGAGTTGACAGAGCTATTTAAGTAATGAAAAGTTGAAGCGAAGGCTGAAGCACTGAGCCAAAGGTTATATGAACTGGAATTGTGGTGGGGATGGTACTGGTATCAAAGATGATGAGTTTGTCAGCACTACCATGGATGGAATAAGAAGAGACAGTATCATGGCTCTTGGCTGCATGACAGCTCATAGAATCATAGAATAATGAAGTTGGAAGAGGCTTATTAAGATGATGTACAAATCTTGCTGAAGTCACTGATGGAAATAAAACAACTGCTGCAGTTTGAGATGGAGACTCTACTGGTGTTAGAAAGCAAGGTGAAGCTAACTCACAAATATCTGAAATAATAGGTAGATGAGTATCTGAAATACTGAAATGAATGAATAGATGGAGAGCATCAATGCATTAGCGTGTTATGATAGCAAAATGAATGTTCTTCTGGAGACTGGCTAGGTCATCGTCAATACCAAGCACAGTCCAAAGGATTAGAATGATGCCAACAGGGAGAGAGAAAACATCCCGGAGGGTACCAACAGGTGAGAGCTTTCATAACGCTTTATACCAAGAACCTCTGTAATATCTCAGCTCTGCCAAAAGCTCTGCTAAGTAGACAGAGAGCGTTCTATGTAGCAAAACTCCTCAAAATCAGCAGGCTCAACATGGAGTGTTATGAGAACAGATCAAACTTGCTCAGTCAAGGTCTTCTTGAAGGGTCCAGTCATGATGGACTAACTGATTATTGCTCTCAGACACTAACAAGCATTTGTAGGTTGAGGAGAATTGTTGTACACCTGGAACAGGAGGGGAATATTCAACTACAAGGATGTCTGATGGTAGATGGTCAGTGAGAACTCCCACCTCCATTGAATCAAGGGTGTTAAGACTATTAACTCTTTTCCTCAGCAAGGTCTAGGGCCCCTGATCTCCCCCCCGCTGTGGTTTGATAACGTGGACACTGAGTTGGTGCCAATATCAATAACAATAAATGATGTTGAAGTCAAGGTTGAGGCAAAGTAAGAGACAGCAGTTCACACTGAAGTTGAAGCAAGAAAAACCTTGAGGATACACAGTGATTTACAGATATAAGGAGTTTTCTGAGGACTGTTAGCATTGGAAATGGACTTCCCCAGAAGAAACCATTTTCAAATGGGCACTCTAGTTTCATCTGACTGGAAACAAACTGACACACTTTGCAGATGGAGGTGTTATGTTCCTTTCTAAGAAAGAAACGACACTTTTCATGTCTGTCTGTGAAGGGAATTTTCTCTTACAGATAAAACAGTACTTAAAGAATGCCCTGGACCCATAGGCCCTGAGGGGGAAATGAAAACAAGGAACAACTATAAGAAATGGAAAGAAGTATCAACAGGAAACTATCAAAATGTAAAACACTGAATAAAAGGAAAAGTAAATGAAATGAATAATAAATTAACCACAAAATTAATAATTTGTATTTCTCTGAAAGACTCTGGAGAGCCAGTGTTTTATAATGGAGAGAATGTCAGACTAGGATTCAGGAGATCTGGTTTCAAGCCCCAGGGATGTGGGGCAGGCACTGGCAAAACCACTTTTTAAACCTTATATATCCTGAAATCCCTTTTAGGGTTTCCATGAGTCAATGCAATTTGGCAGCACATAGCAACTCTTTCTAAGGAATCACACTACTTGTTGTCACTTTGGTGAGCAAAGCAATATTGAAGGACAGCCCTCCCACACATTTTGTGGGGAGATAGGAGTGGACTATGACCAAAACTCTCTCTGTCTGGAAGGTTCCAAACCATGGTTCTGTGCCGACAAGGACCTGTATGTGCCATCCACGGAAGCCACAACGATGACTCTCTGGTTCATACCTCAACGTAAGAAACTCAGAAACTGGAACCTACTACAGAAGGCGTTAATTTAATGACTTTTGTGGTTTCACTAAACAATTCTACATTGCATCTCAATGGTGAAAGATCAAGGGAGCCACAATTCAAAAGCACTCAGATGACCACAGTTGCTCACCTTTGCTGTATGACCTTTATGACCTCAAGGCTGCAGTTGGAACAATGAAGCTGGGAGACAGTAGCCTGCTTAAGGTCGCCAAGTTAAATTATGATACTGTAGAGCCAAGATTTGAATCAACAACTTCGTAATTCAAAACTCAAGGTCAGTCATTGCACTCCGAGCCAAGATTTGAATCAACAACTTCAAAACTCAAGGTCAGTCATTGCACTCCATCGGCTCCCTTATGTTAAGAACATGGGAGCAAAAAGAGTGCAGAAGAAGTTATTCCTATCGGAGAGAGAGATATATATACGCAAAATGTAATTCTGGACAAGCTGCTATACTAAAGACATTGAAGGAAGAATTTGAAGATGAGGTGTGACCAATCTTCCCTCTAACTGTCATATCTGCTGAGTGGGAGCCTCGGTTGTCTGCGCACGGAGTCAGGGCTTCAACTGAAACCCGGAGGTAAACAGGTACCAACCCCAGCTGCCAATGCGCGGCACGGAGGGAGCTCTGCGCGCCCACACCCACGTGCACCTTCAGAGGGAATGTTGGGTATGACCAAGAGAAGGTAAGCTTCTGCCAGGACTGCTTCCAGTCCGCAGCTGCATTGACAGCAGCAAGCAAATGTAAGGCAGACAGGCATAGACCCATGAGAAGTGTGGCACTACTCCCTGATCTTTTTCTGACAAGACCCGGCTTTGTACTCTGCCTTGGTTCTCTGTGCTCTCACAGCTCAACAGTCATAGTGATGCCATCGCTACTGATCAGTGGAGGAGCCCTGAGCCCTGGTTATGAGGGGTGGTGAGCAATCCACCTGGATGGAGGGAAACAACTGCAAGACTTCCAAACCAGCTCTATTTGAAAGCCTGTTTCTCCTCTAGGGAATCCTAAAACCTTCTTTCATCTTTTCGCACCCTATTCCCAGACGCAATGGTAGAAAAGAAAACCTTCAAGAACAAGCATCTTAAGAGCTGCATCTCAGAGGAGATGACAGAGGACGCATTATAATTACATTAGAGATTAAATGTTTATGCTGGCCATTTTAAAGAAAGATAAACAGTAAAAAGCTGGCAACAGCTAATACAAACAACCTCCCCTTTTGCCATTCATACCGAAGGCTTGTCATCATTCTTGGGAAGAGAGCAATAAGCCCAAAAATACACACACGGCACCATAACCTTCCCCCAAACATGTAGCCTAGGAGGAATTTAGGAAGAATGCAATGCCAAGAAGGCATCTTCATGCAGTCAGGATCCTGCTCTCTTGTTCAATCCCGATAAAGCTTTTGAGAAACAAGCCTTCTGGTACATTCAAACAAAGCATCCCCACATATATTCTTCTGCTAGCTCTGCCTCTGGCATTTCATTTCCTCCCTAGTGCCGTGCTATTGACATTTGAGTAGTAAGCTCCTTTGAGAAGGAGGCAAGGACTATAAAGACTACAGTTTTTAAGGGAGACAAAGACAAACTGTCATAGCTGGTGGTGTGTAAACCTTTCTGTTTTGTCTTAGTATTAAGAGTAATTCTGCAGGTTTTATAAGTGATTTTTTTTCTTTAAAAAATCTGTAAAATCCTTTTCCATCAGAAAAAATAATACAACAACACCAACCAGGCATTTGCACCATGTGGAAAAACTATTGTCTGACTCCAAAGTAATAGATGTATCATATTCATCCCCTACTTCAAAATTAGAAGTACCAAATGTCCCTCCACTTTCTCAAGGTTCACTTTTCTCATGATTCAAACAACTACTGTAATATAGAACCTTGAAATTATAATGCAATATTATTGTACATTAATGAACATGAGGGGAGGGGAGGCGAGGCAAGCAAAACAAAATAGTTTGGCTCTTTTACTGCAAAACCAACCAATGGGATCAATACTAGCTTGCAACACAACATCATTCTCACTGTGCCATTTTTGCAGCAATTGGGATGCCAGGCTATGCATGCTTGAAATGGCAGCAATGCATTTACTTTATGTTCCTTTGCTTAAAAAAGAAGAGAGTGGAAAACCTTCTGCTGATTCATCTTTAGTAAATAAGCTACCTGTCCCAATCAAAATTTAATACATTTCAGGACTCTCTAAAAGTACCGTATTTTTCGCTCCATAAGATGCACCAAATTTTTAGAAGAAAACAGGGGAAAAATTTTTTTCTTCTCCTAAAAAATTGGTGAGCCTTATGGAGAGGTCTGTCTTATGGAATACAACCTAGGACCCTTTGGAGGCTCATCCAGCCCCCCCGAGGGCCAGAGGGGGCGAAATCGCCACATTCAGGGACTCTTCTGAAGCTTCCCAAGCATCAAAAGAGTCCCAGAAGGTGGCAATATCGCCCCCTCTGGCCCCGTGGGGGGGGGCACAGTGAGCCTCCAAAGGGTCCTAGGCTGTGTTCCAGGACCCTTGGGAGGCTTCCCCCATCCCTCCACGGGGCCAATGGGGGTGAAATTGCCAGCTTCGCTCCATAAGACGCACAGACTCCCCTCCCCCATTTTTTAAGGGGGGAGTGTATCTTATAGAGCGAAAAATACGGTATGTTTTTTTTCAGAGAATCCTACTTCTCATGATGTACTCAAAGTAGGACAGCCTCAGTTTCAACACTGGGGGCAAAATTGCCAGCTTTACTCCATAAGACGCACAGACTCCCCCCACTTTTTTTGAGCAAAAAATACGGTAACTGAAAATCGCAACCCCTTTAATCATTGTAAGATGTTAGCCCTTTATTTTACACTAAATGTCATTTGCTGTTTTGTTGCCCGGTCTCTCAGGTTTCCAAAATCCCTTTGAAGCTTTGCATAATTTGTTTGGTTCTCCAACATCCTGAATAATTTGGTATTTTCTACACTTCATCTTAGCCAAAAGGTGTCATCTGGGAACTTGGGCCACTTCACTGCTCAGTGAGCTGTAGATAATTTATGGGCAAATTAAATCACACTGATCCCACTGCAGATGCAACAGAATTCAACAGATTCTCACCACTTATTTCCTCGTGCTGAAAGAAATGTCCATTAACCTAGTTGCTTCCATCTGAAGCCTTCCTTCTAGTACCTCCTCAGAAACAGGCCCAACTGTGATGATAACTGACAGGGTCTTTTTCACGGTGCCTTCAGTTTCGGTCCTGACATTATCACACTTGTAATGCCAGGTTCAGATGTTTCATCCCAGACATTTGCTGGGATGAAACCGACTAATTTTTATCCCTATGATCTGCTATTCCTGGGGGAGGCATCGTTCTGGGAGAGGCTGTAACTTCTGAAGGCAAATTGCCTTAAGTTAAGAAATCACCACAGACATTATCTGTTGAATACTGAGTTGTGTGGCTCAGTGTGCAACTGATAATGTCTTTCTTAACTTGGGGTTACTTGCTTCGAAAAATTATGCCATTTATGTAGCCACACAAGAGAATTTGGGCCAGTGATTTTTTTTAAGAAGAGGTATCCAAAAATTATAATAAATTATATATAACATTAACAGCAGCAACATCTACTCTCTGTTTCTGTTGCTTAATCAGTTACTTACCCATGGGAGGACCATGTCTGCTACATTCCATCTGGAGCCTTTGGTGAGAAATTCAATGAATTGCTTTTGGAAATTCTTGTGTACTAAGTGAACCAGTTTTATTTCCAGACTTGGAGTATGACTGGGAGAAATGTGGGTATGGGGATTTCCCCCTTGATGCGAAGGGGGAAAACATTAGTTGTGGGAAAAGGATTCAAAACATGCACAGAGAGCCACGGCTTTTCAATTCTGTCTCCACATTTCAGTCATTCAGTTCAATACATTTTCAGCAGCAAAAGTCACTTCCCTAAAATGTCTTCTATTCCTTAGAAGTATCCCCTAAATACTGCAGAGAGCCTGATTCCCAAAACAGAGAGCATTGTCGTGATCAGACAGTTGTTAACATTATAGCAGTAATAATATATTATTTGCTCCTAACCTCTTCATGTTAGTCATACAATACAATTGAAAGATCTAGGAGGTACATATTGAAATTGTCTATAGTGTAAAATTTGATATCTTCCTTTACTCAAAATGCCAAAGGCACTTAGTTTCTGGAGCATTTCCAACTCTGATACTACCCCACAGGATACCCTGGCCCACAATCATTTTCATTGTTTAACAGCTGATTGGCCCTGTTTAATCAAGCACAGAGACCGAGCATCATTACTAGCCTTAAGAGAAAATGGTGTGCCAACAAACTAGTGAGAAGACTTTTCTGCAGCAGACTTTGGACAGCTCAAGGCCATGAGTAAAGAATTAAAATGACCAACGCTTTGAAAGAATTATTGCAGGACAAGATCCATGTAACCTATCCTTCTGAAAGCAACAAGGGTAAAGAACTTTACTGCTGGACCATAAATATTTTTGTTTGAAGAGCTAAACATTAAGGGATTACAAGCAGAAGATTCAGTTCCCAAGTTTGCTTGTTTATCTATTATGAAGTGTAAGTGCATATGCACGCACGCACAGACACACAAACACACACACACACACAAACTTACATGGCTCCCTGGTAATGAACTGAGGTAAAGTGTTGGAGGTGGCAGGAGTGCTTGGATTTGGTGTTCCAACCAATTTACTCTTAGCCATCTTCGTGTTGGCCTTAGCAAATTCTAGCCGGAGCGTCTGAGGAATTTCTGGGTCAAAGCGAATTCCCTTTTACAAAAAGAAAAGAAAAAAAAATACAAAAATCCAAGAGTCAATCCTTGCAGATGTAGAACAGCAGGCAAGTTATGGTGAAAGTAAAGACAAAATTGTATGTAGTATCACAACACAGCTGCAGTATCATAAAAACAAAGAATGTAAAATGAAGGACATGGCGTCATGGGAGAAATGTCAACTAATAGGAACTGCCCTAAAAGAACATAGAACTGAAAAAAAATGCATTCAAAAAGTTCATAAAATAATCTGCAATTAAAATGGTTCAGCAGGTAGAAAACTTTCTTATGATTATTAAGAGAAGTTTTATGAAATTTCACATTTTCTCTGCAACCTGCATTTGAACCCATAAACAAGTTCAAACATGTTTATGAGTAATCTGGCCTTTCTCACCAGATTACTCATAAACAAATTCAAACCCACCCATAAACTAAAACATAGTTTGCAAAAAAAGACATGTCATAGCCTAATGAATATTATTTATCTCTCATTGTAATGATATACTATATAAAATATAATATTTATAATAATTTGAATATATAATAATAATTATCATTTATTCATTTAGATACAAAACCAAACAAATTGTAGTCACAGAAGATTTATTCGCTACATTGGAAAACCTGCTTTCAGAAATGAAAACTCCTCGCAAGGCAGAGTAAAATCGATGAAAGAAGTAAGACAAGTTAGGTATGTAGTTTTTGTTTTGTTCTTAAATTCAGCTCTATTGATATAGCGACTTTACTTATATTTTAATACTGTAACATATTGCAGTCTTAGTTTTATCTCTGTTTTTAACCACGTTGTGAACGGCACTGTCCCAGTATTGGGAAGAAGATGGGATATAAAGACGATTTATAATTACAGTATATTATATAAATGTAATTAATTAACAAAACCAGACATACTAGATGAGAAAAGAACACAAGGAAACCCTGAAAAGACACATGCAAAGAACGAAACAGACAAGAACGACATACAAGTGTACGAGATAAAACAGAAATGGGCAAAGAAGAGCACCTGAAGAAATGTTAAGCGTGGAAATATACAACATGAAAATATTGTATTTTCTTTTAATTTCTCTTGGCCACAATCTTGCTGGTCATTTACCTGTGCATAATTTAAACTGTGTGACTCACCATGCAAAATAATGAGACACCAGCCCCGTTCTGAGGCGCATGCCTGATTGTAGAACAGAAACATCCATAGTAATGTAACCAATGTCTCCTAAGCATGTGCTCTGCTGGTGTGTGTATGTATCCTTAGACCTCCTGAAAGAGGGGCATGGCCATCCCATACCTGTGAGGAGGCTGCCCTAGAGTTATTTGGAGGCAGCCATCCCATAAAACCTGTATTCCAAACTACTCTGTTCCTCACATGCTACCAATATCAATCGCAAGGCTATACAGTGGTGCCTCGCTTAACGAGCGCACCGTACAACGACAAATCCGCACAGCGATCCCCTTTTCGGGATCGCTAATGCAGAGGCATACCGATCGTTCCAATGGGCAAAACTCGCATAGCGACGATCGGTAAGCGTTTCGCTTACTGATCTTCGCTTTGCAATGCCCGCGGATCAGCTGTTCAGCGGTTCTAAAATGGCTGCCGGATGCCTGAAAGGGCCGCGCGCAGCATTTTCGCGCCCTCCCCTCGCTTACCGAGGACACGAAAATGGCTGCCGCTATGGAGGAAACTTTGCTGAACGGTAAGTTTAGGGCCCAATGGGTTTTTATGTTCCGTTTAGCGATGTTTTCACATAGCGAGGGTTAATCCGGAATGGATTAACCTCGCTATGCGAGGCACCACTGTATGCTGGTCAGTAATTTAGAGAGGGAAATGCTATGGCTGGCTTCAAACAGACACAGTCTTTTTAAACAGATTTAACTGGACATGTTTTGGAACAACACCAAAACCCTCACTCACCCCAATAATTGTCTTAGTAGACATTCTGTTTCCAATGCATGGGTTTTATTAGCAGTGGTTAGGACACACATACATTTACACATCCTCTTTTCCTATTATAGGCTACCATTATTCTTATTACTACCCTTTGTATTTGACAATAGTAGGATCTTTACAGATTGCATCAAATGTTTCATAGAAATTACTGCAGGAATCATAGCAGCTCTGCAGGATAGGTCAGCATTATTATCCCATACTGCCAATGGCATGAAGAGAAATAGCAACTTGCTTAAGACAGGCTGTTGTGTGTGTAGGGAATTCCTTGGTCACTGCTCAGATCGTTAATGTCCTGTCTGCCCTATGTCTGTATGATGACCTTTCACCACATAACTATCCTAAGAAATGTATTCAGGGCACTAAGACATCTCTGCTAAAAAAAATCTACAGCTTACAGGGCTCGTTTAAAGCCTGTGGGACAGATATACCAGCAGCTACTGTGCCAATCCCTATATAGCAGCAATATAACCCTATAAGACCATCTAAAAATTCTACTGGACTTCTCTCATGCTTGGAAGACACCACTGTTAGGTAAGGCGCAGACCAAATGGGCCTTCTGTCATTCCCCCCCTCCCCCAGGGCCTAATACTAAAGACCAAGCATGTTTTTTACTCTTTTTAAAAAATTAAAATCTTATGTTTTTAGGGTTTTCCCCTCCAAAATTGGAAATGGACAACAGTCTGCTGCCAACATATGCAATTATCCATCCATCTGGTACGCAATTTGGGATGGAACCAGAGTTAAAAGCTGTTGTCTATATGCGTGTCCCAAACATAATTTCAGAAGGAAACAATCAATCCTTTTTTCTTTTCTTTTTTCTTTTTTTGCTGCAAACGTAATTTCAGAATGAAACAATCAATCCTTTTTTCTTCTTTTTTTTTTTGCTTTAAAACATTTATTTATGTTGGTCTCCCAAACAGCACACGACTAATGATACAAAGGTGGTACTTTGATCCACTGGCTCCATGTGTCCTTTTACAATGTAACCAACAGGACATTGGAATCTGACATGGGTGGGCAAAAATGGGAGTATGCGCTGATGTCACAAATTCAATTAATAACTCAAAAGGGGAGGAAGATAAACAAGAGCTAAGAAATGGAAATCTTCAGGGAGAAGGAGCTTTGGAAGTTAAATATTTAGAAAAGCTCGTGATGGAGGAGGATGACACAATAAATCAAAGTCGAGTTTTTCACTCTAATTTTTAATTAAAAGCACAGTTATATATCAGCTGAGCTTTCAAACTAATGAAAAAGAACAGAGACAAAAAAAAACCAGAGTTTATTACTGTTGCAGAAAATATGAGGATCATCAGCTTTGAAGTTCTATTATATTACTATAAAGAAAGAGAGGTTAAAGGTTCGGCCATCAAAACATAATGTGGAAATCCACCTTATCTGTGATGCAGATATGATAGAATTTTGAGTAGTTTGTTAAGACAAATAGGGCTTTAAACTATGCCAACCCACTCTTGCCTGCCTTCTTTCATCCAACATATATGAGAACGCATGGGAATGCATGCATGACTGCCTCTGGATTTTTTTGTATGTATAGGTGAGTATGAGAGAAGGAAGCTTTTTTTGTGTATATTAATGTCTGTATATGTATATGAATAACTACATTGACTCTTGACAGCTGGAACTGTCTTATAGCAACCCTAACAGGGCTTTTGAAGTAAAAGAATTACAGTATTTAAAGAATGGTTTACCAGACCAATCTATAACCCACCCTCTGTGTCTCCTCAGTCTTGGTCTGTCACTCTATCTATTACAGTACTGTACATGATATTGGGTATCCAATGCACACATCTATAGTAAAAGGAGGTGGAAAAGTCTCTAGTAAAAAGTTATAGCTACAATAGTGAAAAAACACGCTTAAAATAATTATGGGCTGTTGAGGCAATTCCGATTTTTTTTATTATATGGTTTTATTCTATTTTAATTTTTTTAATTTAACTATAACATAAACATAAAATACATAAACCAAAATACAAATTAACTGTGTTCCCCCTGTTGAGGCAATTCAGATTTTTTTTATTGTATGGTTTTATTCTATTTTAATTTTTTTTATTTAACTATAACATAAACATAAAATACATAAACCAAAATACAAATTAACTGTGTTCCCCACCACCATAGTCGGGACCTCTTGAAATAAACCTCTTCTTCCTCTATCCTTATTCTTTTTCTTCTATTATTGTCTTCTTCTCCAGAACTGCATTGATTCTTGATTTGAAGTTTCCTTTTCCTCTTGCTAACACATACAGTGGTGCCTCGCTTAGCGACGTTAATCCGTTCCGGAAAAAACGTTGCTAAGCAATTTCATCGCTAAGCGATATTTAAAAGCCCATAGAAACGCATTAAAATGCAATTAATGCTTTCCTATGAGGTTAAAAACTCACCTTTAAGCGAAAATTCTCTATAGTGCCACCATTTTCGCTGCCTCTTAAGCGAGGAAAAACAGCGGGCGGCCATTTTGTTTTCCCGGTGGCCATTTTGAAACCGCCAATCAGCTGTTAAAAAAGGGTCACTTTGCCATGATCGCTTCCCCGCGATCATCGCAAAGCAAAAAAAACCCATAGGGACTATCGCACAGCGATCGCAAAAACTCCATCGCTAAGCAATCAGCGATTGCAAAAACTCCATCGCTAAGCAATTTCGTCGCTCAACGGAGCGATCGCTATGCGAGGCACCACTGTATTCCAAAAATCTGCCCCATATATCATAAAAATTATTCTTTTTCAACTCTCCTTTCTTAACCTTTAAATTACAAGTTAGCTTATCATTTATAACTATATTCCATATTTTATTACACCATTGAGATTTTGATTTCCATTGCCTAGCTATTATTAATCTAGCTGCTCTTAATAAATTGGTAATCAATTCTTTAGTCATCTTATCATATTCCACATTCTTAGATATTGATAACAGAACTATCTCAGGATTAAATTCTATATCTTTTTCACATATGTCATTTAATTCTTTAAAAATTAGTTTCCAAAATCTTTGTACTTTTTCACATTTCCACCACATATGAAAGT